AACTCGTTCAGGTTCGACGTGAGCACACACTCAACGGCAACACAGTACTCTTCCAATCAGAAACCAACTTTTTCCTACGGAAAACCAAAAAAACACTTTTTGCGAATCTATACGGCCAGACTCCAAACAGATGTTTGAAAAACCAACTTTGTCCTGGGAAAAAGATGGTTTTGGGCAGGAAAACCAATTTTTCCTAGGGAAAACCCAAAAAACGTCATTTTGGAGAAACTATGCGGCCAGACTCTTAAACACAATGTTTTTTTGGTTTTCCCTAGGAGCAAGTTGGTTTTCGGTGGAAAAACCATCTTTTCCATCGGAAAAAATTTGTTTTGGGTAGGAAAACCATCTTTTCCCTAGGCCTAAGGAAAAATGGGTTTTGTGCCAAAAAGCAAAGTTTTTTCTAGGAGCAAGATGGTTTTGGGTAGGCAAACCTAATATTTTCTAGTGAAAACCACTAAACAACATCTTTTTGGAGTCTGGCTGCATAGTTTACCAAAGCTGTTTTTTTGTTGTTTTTTTGGTTTTCCCTAGGAAGCAATTGGTTTTCCTAAACAAACCATCTTTTCAATTTTCCCTAGGGAAAGGTTGGCTTTTCGGCAAAAACCATTGTCTTTCCTAGTGAAAAGTTGGTATTTCACTCCAAACCGGGTCACAACCAGGGCATTGTTCCGTCGATGGAGAGCTGGTTATCACAGCTACCATGCTTTCTAGCTGACTGACGTCGTAAATTAAATAAGAAAAACATCGGGGTCAGAATATGGGTGGTACTAAGCCGACTATGGATGGGTATCTTGGTATCTAGTACAGGTTTAACATTAGGGTTAGCATGTGTAAATACACACACCTATGTGTACATACACGCAAAAGGGCAAAAGGGCAAGTCCGTCAGCAAATCTAGCATGATCATATACTATAGTGAGAAAGTGGGTGCCATATACAGTATGTTGAGGTAAACAAAGAAATGCTGGTATCATCCCTAAAACCTAAGGGCTATCATTTCGGGAACGCCAGAGCGAAAACAGCAAGGATCGTGGTTCTTAGTGAAATTCGTGTTGTGTAGTTTAATGTTAGCATGAGTGTGACGGCAAGCATTGAAGCAAATGCTTGGGCAGTATTTAGCGTACATGTATTAATATTAACAGTAACTAGTATTGGGGATGCCATGGCCTTTAACTTAGGGGACTTGAACGGGATCCCACAGCTACATCTGGATGAAATAACCTGTTCATCAGGCCAATGCTCGGGGTTTCTCCTAGGGCCAATATTTGGGTTGCAATTGAAGGAAGTATCCGGTACAGGGTATACATACATAGTTATATGTATAGATACATATATATATATATAGATACACATGTATCGGATATATATTTTGTAAGAGCTCTGGTACGAGTACGTATGTTAGAGGGGTCTGCTAGCTTCGGCTCTGGCTCGGTGTGACTTTAAACAGCTGGGCAGACCTAGATCAGATCCAACACTCCTGAAGCTGCAATAGAACACCAGTGTCACGATTGCCGTGTTCCCTTACTTACGGCTCCAGCTTCGTTACATGGCATGTTACTACTCATGTGTGTATAGATGTATGTACACCATATAAAATATACGTGTGTCTGCGTAAAAATAGCCTGTATGGAGGAAGCAGGTGCTCGACCAAGCAAAAACGAACAGCGCACAACCATAGTCTTGCTTCATGTGTACCTCAGCGGGTCTTATCAGCTGACATACATCCAAACATTAAGTTGTCCGAGAATGGGGTCGCTGCTGCCCTTAACCAGCCGAGACTCGTCTTGTTTTGGGTGACCTTCGATCTCCAAAGCAGGCCTCGGACAAGTTTTGCGCATCTGCAGGCGTCCTCCCCCATGCCATGCCTTCGGAACTCTCTTGCAGCACCGCCACCAGCATCAGCATCGTCACCATCATCAGTGTCATCATGACCTTCATCTCGACAAGTACCAATGGACCAACATGGGTGTCCTCATCGTTTGGTCATCGCAGTCGTCAACATCGCTCTCATGTTTGGCATGACCTGATATTGTGCTAAAATTAACATCACCATGCAGCCATCATCACAGTCACACAGGTGCTATCGTCATCATCATCATCGACCGCTTCCTCTTCGGCCTCACCATCTGCAGATGCGCCGATCAGCAGTCTGCACGAAGGACGACAATAAGTTGAAACCACCAAAACTGTATTCTTCGCAGCGGCGGAAAACCACAACCTAACAAGAGCACAAAGCTTCGCGCTAAACATCGAGGTGGTGATGTGCTTTTTGCCATTCCTGCGCGCAACCGGAACGAACACAGTCAATTCAAAACAGTTGCTAGCACATCTCCACTCTGGGCGAGATGCCATGGAGTAGGGCTGGAAGCAGCCCCTGGCCCCGTGTGGCACCTCAGCTTGCAACTATGCCTTGGCACCAGCACGATCGGTCGTCTTGTTGGTCTTGCTACTTGCTAGAACGATGCTTTCCCTCCTGTTTCAATCAATGAGGAGGATTTCGGCATGAACGTAAAGCTTCTGTTTGTAAAGGGGGGGAGGTTTGGGCTTCAGGTGTTTAAGTTCCGGCACGATGGATAAGCTGAGGCCGTTAGCTATGCCTTGCGCAGCAAGCTTGCCATACTCGACTTTTTGCCGCAACCCTACACTATGAACCTTAACTCCTAAACCCTACATCTTCTGAGGCTCCAGCTAAGGATGTTCAAGATGTCAGGATGTCGCTCGAAGAGCGCATCGCAGCCTGGACACGCAGGAGCCCACTTCTGAGGTTAAGGGTTTCGGGTTTGGGGCACCGGGGAGTCGGAAGAAGGAAGCCGTGGTAGCTAGTAGCTATTGTGGCTCACTGCTCTTGCAAAACTAGGGTTGTCGGCAAACAAATAGGCAAGACCGACTCATGGAGGGAAGAGAACGGAGGATACGATGGAGCAATCACCAAAGTGAGGGATATGTGCATATATGTTTGTGTGTGTATATATATATACATATTAACAGACCTGCACAAGTGTATGTGAGTAGGTTCTGGAGAATATACCATGTTTGGATGCATACACAACACGAAAACACACACGAAGCAGACCGCACAGATGATGTAGCGACATAGTAGTACTTGTATCTCCAGAAGGCTTCGCTCTTGCGCCAAGGCTCCATAGTAGTAGTTGTCGCGGTCGGCACCTGCAGGTTTATAATACGTTTTTATTTTTTTTCATCGGCCTTCTTTCTTCTCTGCAGCATTGTTAAAAGGCGCTTTTTGCTTCCCACCTTGCGAGGACGAATCTACGATGCAGGCTGCTTCTACCAGGTTTTAGGGTTTAGGCTTGCTGGACTCAGCGGAACAGATGATGCTTAAGTCTTAGAGCTCCCTGTTTCCTCCAGCTGGGAATCAAGGCGCATATCTATTTACCTGCTGCGCCGACACACAATCACAACCCATATGTGCAGCCAGCGCACATGCACTAGGACTGGCAGTGAGTGCCGAATAGGATGCACCAAGATCAGATAATAGGCGGGCCTTAATATTTAGTATAGGGTTTTGGGTACCATATACTATAATTACACTAAGGAACCCCCGAAACCCTATTCTAATTATAAAGGCATATTATTAAGGCCCTATAGCACACCCTCAGGCCCGAATCCACAAGCCGCAAGGCGCGGATGGTCAGCAAGTCGTCGATCATCGCCCGGGCGACTTGGAAGCTGCCACTCCTGAGCCAAGGCTTAGGTTTTAGGGTTTAGGGTTTAGGGTTTAGGGTTTAGGGTTTAGGTTTATAGGGTTTAGGACTTAAAGGGTGCATAACTGGCCTATTCCGCTCCATGCCTCTAAGCTATATGAATACAAGCACGTAAACAAAAACAAACAGACAAACAGCTACGCTAGTATAACATGCATAAACAGCTTTATTTGTTTCGTGAATGTGTGTGTGTGTGTGTTTTATTCAAAACGCTTATATGTCTCTGCCTATCTATCTACCTACCTATCTGTATCTATTGACTGACTGATTGCTTGATTGATTGCTTGCTTGCTTGGTTGATCGTTTGATTGATGTTGCTTGTTTGGTTGGTTGGTTGGTGATTATCACGATGACGACGATGGCAATGATGATGTGGTGAAACACATGAACAACTGAAGCAATAAAACACACCCACAAATTCATGAATGATTATAACTGAAAAGGCATGTAAAGGCTCTGCCGTCGCATATGCATAATCGGTAATGGGTAGTGGGTGTACACAGCAGAACACACGGTGGAGCCTTGCACCACCCTACCCACCATGCCCTCAGTCTATCGAGGCCCTAGCACCCCTTCACATGCACAAAAATATCGGCATGTGCAGAGCATGGGGGCGGCTAGATCCAACTCAACTCGCCACTGACCGAGTATGGCGTGCGCGACTGCACAAGATTTTCTTGTGGTGCTGTTAGCATACATGTGCAAGTTAGCATACATGTGCAAGTTTGTGTTTGCTTTTGCCACGTCTGTTGCAGTACTTCTTTCGATCGATGCTGGCCGAATAGCGTTACTACCAGTACTACAATGAAACGCAACTACCGGATTTCGAACGCAATCCTGATCATGAGTAGCGCGATCCTTGAACGCTGAAGACATCAACCATACATGCGGAGTTGTCCATGTGGTTAATCATAGACCCCTCAACCCTTAACCTTCAAGTAGTAGACAATCATATCACCGACCCCTAAACCCTAAACTTTGTCTTTTGGATGTTCGCCCTGCGATCTTCCGCAGCAAACTGCAGAGAAAAATGCATGCCGTGAATTCAGCCAATATAGGGGGGGGCCCGAGTAATTTTGACTCGGGTTTTGGTGGTACTTTATTCTATAGTTCTCGAGTAAGTCACTGAGGCAGAATATCGGTAATTATTCAGGCTTCTAAGTCAACTGTAGTCAGACAGGTGTAGACCGAACACCGTAAGTGGAGGTTCGCGAACCAGGAAACAGGTTACCAGCGACAACAAAAGTGCAGGGAGAATAGTAGCTAGTAGCCAATCAAGATTTCGCCCAAGAGTCTTGATCGCCCAATCCAACGGAGAGATGGACTGGGTGCCGACCTTGCAGTGGGATCTACTTCCGCTACGCCTGATTCTGCTGCTGCAACCACTTCTACTACTTCTACTACTACTACTACTACTACTACGACGACGACGACGACGACGTGGACGACTGTGCTATGAGTACCACTATCAGCTGTCCAGTTGTGCTGCAAATAGGCTTTCAAGTGATAGCCGGAACGCAAGCTCCGATGAGAGTGCCAAACTCTGAACATGCGTCTGAGATATGCTTTTACTTCATGCCTCTTGTAGCACGGATTTGTTTTTTGTGCATTGCTGCCCGGGTCCTGCAAGTTGCAGGTTGCAGCAGAACCTCGTTCTTGTCATTGGTCCTCTTCTTGACCGTTCTTAAGCTCTTACCATAACACTAACACTATCAGTACGGCTTGTTGTGCTGATTAAATGTTGTCATCTTTGGTATCACTTGCTGCGATCATGTCTACACTACCGGCCCTTTCGGGTTGAATGAAAAATGCTCCCGACGACCAGTGGGGGTCATTGGCTCAGCACGAATGTGTGGATGCTCCCACCCTTTTTGCATTACACACCAGACCTGGGAGCTCTGATCCCGAGACGCAGGGGTGCTCAAAGACTCAGCAGCTGAATCCTGAAAGCTAACTGAACAAAGCCACTGTGATGCGAAGCATCTCCATCGCTCGCTGCGATCTTCCGGAGATTGCAATGGCCTCGGACGTTCAGAGAGTCTATTGTTGAAGGATTTACCCTACCTTGGCCTGGCCGAGGAATAAGTCCTACTCAGTACTCCGAAACCCGGAACTATATAAAGATCAAAAGCTATCGTGTCTCAAAAGCTTGTGAGCCACGGCCGAACGTCGTGAAGATAACTGCATGAACACACCAGTCCGTCTGAGCCCGTCTCCCAAAAACGGAATCTTCCATGAGCCGGGTCTCTTTCCGAAAACGCTTCGCGCTGTTCGTGTTGATGGCCTTCATCACAATCGTGGAGCCCTTGCACAGGACTTCGAGCTGACGAGTTGGCATCTTTTTCTTGGCGTGCCGCCCCAGGCAGAGGTGTTCTGATCGGGACCAAGTGTGCAAGATCCCAAACCTTCCGGCACTCAATGTCACAGCCTTCCTCTCAACGTGGAAGCCTACAGAATGATTCGAAACAGAACTCTCGCGGAACTGCCATTGTCTTCTAGCTAGAAACACTCGCAGCCGTTGTTGGGGACCGACACTTCCCAAACCCTTCAGCATAACACCACCGAAGCCTCCGGCGACCAAATCTCAAAAACCCGAACCTTGGAAGCTGAGAGCGTATACTTACCTGTCGGACCAAAACTCCCGAACTACAGTCCTTAGAGAACCCCAAACCCAGCAACACGAAACCTTTCAAGGCCAAGCCCGTTCGCCAAAGCAGCCATCCCACCCAGCCTCTAGGATGGTCCTCACCAAGATCTTCGATATCCTGGTTGAACATGCTTTGACTGTAAGCGTGAGAAAGGTTTCTTGGAGGGCTTTTTCTAGGATGCTTTTGTCATGGTTTTGCAGTGCTTGTACGGGTGTATAGGAGTTGAGGGCTTTTGGGTGGAGGGTCCAAGAGGCTTTCTGCCTGAGGGCTTCGTTACCCGGATGTTGTTCGGTAGCTTGTCTACTCAGACCTTGCAACCTCATATAACCTCATGGTTCCGTATGTGATAACGACAACAGTGAACTAGAAACCGAAAGATAATAATTAATAATATGTAATAATAACTAATGATAACTAATAATAATTAATAATGATTAATAATAATGAATAATACTTAATAATAATTAATAATAACTATCTTGAATAATTTCCGTCGGTTCGAGGCAAGGCGCAGAGTCAGCGACCATCGCAATGAGCTGGCAGCTTTCTCTTCTACAAGCCTGAGCTAGCAAAAAACAACCAACTTCTGAGTATAAATACTGCAACCAAGGTAACACATTCAGTCAAGACATAGAAATAAATATCCAGTAAAATCTGTACACTGCATTTGCATAGAAGAGGGGTTGGCCGAACAGTGGGACATGCAGGATCCCTGGCAGAATGTGGCACTGTTGCTTCTTCCAGTACTGCGCGGCTCTGCCCTAAACCCCGGACCCTTTTTGCCCCTTGACCCTACACCCCTGATGCTGCCTGGACTGAGTCTCCGCAATGCGCGGCCCTTAAACAAGCCAGGCTGCATCATCTGAAGGACCTGGCTCCAGGCCTCCACAGGCAGCACAAGCAAGCGCACCTCTAATGAGGATGCACATCCGATTCCGGCATGAACTGCTTATCATCACGGTCCCGAACTTGACCTGCAAAAATCACTCAAAACCCTACGACTCCACCTCTATGAAGGGAGCAAAGAGCTCGGTGGGAATGCCATACCCGACGTGGCCTCGCAAGACTAGTGTTGGTATCAACAACCACACAGTGGAGAGGTGATGCTATGATTGTTGCGCGGCATGCCTGCAACAAAAATCTACCGTCACCATCATCCATCATCGCCATCACAGTCATCGCTAGTCTTTGGTTATAGCTTCCACTGGTTGGTGCTGATGACGAACATCTTCTACACATCCGATCGTCATCTTTGCCATCATCGCCGCTACGATCCTGGCTGTCCAACAACCAAAAAATAAGATTTGCAGAACTCGGAGACATCGGTTGCCGAGGTGTTCCTAATCTGCCGAGCGATGCGAGCACAGTAAACCCGTCATACTACCGAGTTCGCAATTCGATCTGCATTTCCAGGATCCACATATAGAGTTTAGAGTTTAGGGTAAGTATAAAACAGGGTTTAGGTCTTGGCGTGAAGACCTGGGAATCTAGGCTTCTATGTCAGGCTTACCTGCAAGGGCTGTCATGCTAGGCACAAGATCTCTGGGTTTCTCACGCACTCACTGACTCACTCACTTCTTCCACAGGGTCAAGGGACCTGGTCAGCACCCCCGGCCGTTAAGGCCCCCCCAGTGTTTGTAGGGCTCACGGTAGGGGGTGCGAAAGTTACACGCACTGGTTGTCCCCCACGTACCTAACGCCAAGTACAACGTACAATAAAGATTTCTCAACAGCCCTTGACAGCACAGCAGAAAAGTACCTTCGGGACACCTGCTGGATTAGTGGCACGCATCCCCCCGATCGAAGCAACGAACAAAACAACACACTGACCTAAAGAAACATCGTAATCACTCACCCTCTTGCTTGGTTGCTTGGTTGCTTGGTTGCTTGCTTGCGTCGGGGCCCGGCCCGAAGGCCAACCTCCTCAAGGTACGCACTCTCTCTCCCTCCTTCTCTCCCTCCTTTTCTCTCGCTCTCTCGCTCTCTCTCTGAGTTTGGAGGTCATTCTGGCGGGGGCATGCTGATGACAAGCCGGACTCGGCCGGGACAAAACTAAAGATGCGCAAAACACTCTACTTTAGGCAAATGTCGATACCGCTCTTTTAAAGGATGAACAGTCATAGAAACATCACATCACAAACAGTTATAAAACATATAAAAAAAAACATAAACCCGTTTACAAACCCTTGTAAAGGCAACATGGGGAGGCTTGCGCGATCAGATGAGTCGGCACTTCTGAGGTTCAGGGTAGGTAGAGCGCTACGCGAACCTACCCTAGGCACCACATTCTAGACTTGAGGGCTCAGCGAGCAGGGGTCGTAATTTCTACAACAGCAACAACGACGACGACGACTACTACTTGTACTCCTGCTGCTGCTGCTACCACCACTACCACCCCTACGACCCCGAACCTGAAGCTCAACAACCAAGAGCCTGCAGGTCGCACTTCAGGCCTATGCCAGACTCATATTGGGACCTTCATACTTACAGTACAGTTTCTATAATATGTCTATATCTATCTATCTATCTATCTATATATATATATATATACATATATATATATAAATACATATACAGCCTGGGTGATATGCGTGTATATATATATATATACATGTATATGTACATGTACATGTATGTATATATATATATATATTTATGTGTGTGTATGTATGTATGTATGTATGTATGTATGTATGTATGTATGTATGTAAGTATGTAAGTATGTAAGTATGTAAGTATGCAAGTATGTAAGTATGTATGTATGTATGTATGTATGTATGTATGTATGTATGTATGTGTATATATATATATATAGTACCATGCCAAACGAAAAGCTGTATACACGAGAACCAACAGCTTTTGACGACCGAAGGGCGCAATCCCAGAGCCGAAATCTCTTCGACCATGCCCCGCGGCCTCAAGAACAACGTTGTCTTAACGGGACTGGGGTTCGTAGGTTTAAGGTTAAGGTTGAAGGGTCATGCACTGCATCACCCTGTTATGTTCTATTCTGCGCGGCAGTACATTCCTGAGCACCATGTGATACGAGGCTCCGACGTCAGAGGATCGTTCCAGTTTCAGGGTTTAGATGCTCAGGGTGAGGGCGCCTGGGTCTAAGATTGAGGATGCTGGAAGTGGCAGCACTTAGGGTGCAGAGCTTCAGGGTAAGGATTTAGGGTCAGGGGTGACAGGGTTTAGGCTTGGCTCAGGATGCGACGCTCAAGAAGAACTGCTGGGGTTAGTGTCAGTTAGGGCTGTCAAGCTCGGTTCAGAGTTTAGGATTTAGGTTGTAGCGTTTGGGTTGGTCTCGGTGTGAAGTTTGTGTAGGGCTCCTGGGAGCGAAGATTAGTTGATGGCTTGGGCTTCGAATTGAGAAAGGCCCGACACAAGGAAGCCTTCAACGAGTGAGGCAACTATGGGGAATCGCCATCGGAACCGACGATCAGTGCTCACCAGAAGCTTTGTTTCGTGGCGCTGCTTTTTGGCAGGAACCCAGAAGCAAAAGAGGGGCTCGGAATTTGGGAAGAGTAGCAGCTTGCCGTTGAATCGACATGAAAACTGCCGTGATGATAAGCCCCTGCAACACCATTCATCTCGGCGCCTCTTGTACATCTCCAACGACATTTCCAGCACCTAACCCGCTTCAGAGCGGAAATCGTTGAAGTTGACAGTTCACTTCGACAGACAGTTTGGGCGAGGCGGCGTAGGGGTTCGGGTTTTCAGGGTTTCGTAGAGGCAATCAATGCAAAAGCAATGCTGGCAAGCTCTTCGGATTCTTCCACAATTTCCATGACGTCTCTGCCGCGAGTCCTGAAATTACAGAGCGCTACGAAAGGACGAGGCATCGGTTTCCATGGTGGCCCTCTGATATCCCGTGTTCGACAGTTGGTGCCTGGCTGCACCTACACGCAATCTGCTTGGCACCTTGTCTGCGATGAAGTTCAATCGAGTCGAAGACTGCTTGAAGTAGTCTTGCCCTTTGGGCGCCACCCTCAGCCAGCGGACACTGAAGCAAGTTGAAGGAAGATGGCAAAAGAAGATTGAGGGCTGGGTTTGCAAACCAGCAAGACAGATGTACTACATTTACGACCTGGCAACCAAGCCTGCGAAAGGTAAATGCATGCGATTACTTGGCGAGGGCCTCGTAATGCACAATCTGAACAGGAAGTCCGAATCCCACGTCGGAAGCTTCGAAGCCTGCAGGAAAGGAACTGATTTGTACGGACCCGGCAGCAGAAATGGCAGGCCCATTTTTGTTTTCGTATGTCTGCCGAGTCTAGCGATGGCATCTGCATGCTGTCAACTGCAATCCAGCTGCCCGAAAAAGACCTTGTACACATCCTTCCGCATCTGCGTAACGACGTCATCAGTCAAGTGCCTGATGAACCGGTCTGCCGCCCGCTGGTATCCTGCAAACCCGGACATGGCGCATACAGAGATCACAGGCCAGAACTCAGACCGCAAGAGCATAGACCGGTAAACCAGAACCCATCGCCAATCAACATGTTTGAGTTCAGTGCGGGTGCGGTTGGGATTTCGCTAGAAAGCGCTCCTACCTGACCGGACTGACTGCAAGCATCTGCAGCATCACGAAAGTGACACATCACCGTGTCTATCAACATCACTAACACTACGTCACTACGAAAGATATGTGCAACACCAGGGCCACGAGAGAGAGAGAGAGAGAGAAAGAGAGAGAGACATCGAGCCGTCTCAGAAACTGTGAGGAAGCAAGCCATAAGAACCGCGACAACAAAAAGTGTCTGTAGCAGCACAACCCTAATGGTACACACCCAGCTGGCTCAACATTCGTGAAACAAGCCTGAAAACATACACCATCCTACACCATAAAGAGCAACCCTACAGGACTACAGCCCCAGCCCAAACCGCGCACACGCAACCACACACGATCTCTTTAGCCCTCGACCGACCCCTCCATTTCGGCTCCTTTGATGTTTGCGGTTTGCCGCTTGATCATGCGCTCTGTGTTGTCCCAAAACCACGTCCATGCGACCTTGGACGATGCTTCGGTTGCTGGGGAGCCCAGCCTCTCGGGATTACGGAATGGGAAGGCACAGGCAGGACCGACACCAAGCTGGCAGCCATAACCTCGATATGATTATTCATGCTCATCGTCCTCGGTGAGTCATCATCATCGGTTTGGGCCATTCCGCTCCCGTGCCCTCCCCACCACGTCGAACACGCCTCGTGCTCCACGCCCCAGATTTTGGGGACCAGAGAGCGCAGTGACGCCAGCATGACGGCCTCGCGATGTCTCAACGCACATTTCGATAGAGCAGGGCAGGGTCAGCAAAGCATGAATGAGGCTTCAAGGGACCAATCGAGGGATGTGACTGCCCATGGAAGATGAGGGAAGCTTACCCGAGCAGACCAAACAGTCCAACCAGACGCGGGACATGTGTCGCTGCTGAATGCAACCTCGGCTCATTTCCGAAGCATTGAATGCACGACCACCAGAGTTTCTGTAAACCCCCGCTTGCAACTACACGGCACCTCTGACAGTATCAAGCCGCTTAAACCCGAAAGCTTAAAGCTTAAAGTGCTTCCGCAGCTGAGGTTTTGAAGAGCATCGACCAAGTAACTGGAGACTTGAAATGCCAAAAAACCAAAAGTTCTGTGTAGCCAAACCGACAAACTGCGTGGAGTTCCGACCATTTTGCGCAGGCTGGCGAACATGAACCGCCCCTCAATACGACTGTGCCGCCGCCGGTTATGTCAGGCTCTCTTCTACAGCGCATGAAGCCTTAAACTCCGAGTAGATGATGGTCTCCTGCGTGGTCAGGAAACTTTCAGAATCTCTGTGGGCAGTGAAAGCTTTAGCACACCGAGATTTCTCAAGAGCTTGCTGCAGGCCACCGGCAACATCCCCTAGACACAGAGAGCAGTCTCTTTGGCAAAGGTGCAGCGCCCGCTCACAGCACCTTTCGACTAGTGGCCTTTATTCAGAGACTACAAAACCACCCTCTGTGCGAATTCATCGTCAAACTGTTGAGCCCTGAACCCTCAATGGCAAAGCGGTTCAGGATGTAGCACTCACCCACAAAGCAGCTCGGGATTTCGGAGCACTGTCGCATCGCTCCTTGTACTTCACCAGTACCAGGGACAGTACATCGCACTCCTCCTGCAATCTGTACGAATTCGCTGCATTCCTCAGATGCGAAGCAACAGTTCGCAAAAGCTGAGAATTCAAGACAAGCTCCCTATCTCGGCGACATCGAGCAAACAGCCAGCAACAGCTTGCGAATTAATCAACAATCCAACACACGGAGTACGCGGGGTTCAGCAGCAGTGTTGTGGATCCAATGCTGCGAGGAGGTACAGCATATCCCGAGCCCTCATAAAAATCGTAGTGCTGCACACATCCTTCTACTTGTGGATTACTCGGGTCTGCCTGGGCAGGAAGCTCTTGGGGTCAGGTGAGTACATCTACATACATACACACAGACACACACAGACACACACATACGTACATGCATGCATACGTATGTTACATACATGGGAGCTTCTTGTCAACATCGTCCTCATGGTACGATACATGTGCTGTGATGACGTTGATTTCGGGACTCATCTCGGCCCTGGTATGGACCGACAACTTACACCCCAAGAATCCAAGAATCCCAGCATCCAAAAAGCGACCTTCAACATGCTGCTAATCTGCGTGATATAAGGTTGGTTTAAAGCAGTTCTCGGGGAGAGGTTGCTGTATTGATCAACAAAAGCGGCAAAAGACGAGGACCACTCCAAGGCTTGAGCTCCCATATCAATCAGTAAACCACTCCCGAAACTCTTGAAATCCCTAGAACTGCATAGCACGCCGAAGGACATAACCATCGCCTCGAACTGATCGAGCACCTGCTTGTGCAGTGCAGGAGTGGCTGAAGTGAGGTCATGAAGAATGTCACGAGACAAGTTGCGTTGTCGGTCTGCACCAGGTTTGCTTGACAAATTCTGCTAGGCTCAAGAGACCGTGCAGAATATGCTATCAGCAGCCGATCACCGGTGAAATTCATGCCAACCGCATTGCGACATGGATTGAAGTGATTACTGGCGGCTGTATCGAAGTTTCAGCCTTTCTGCTCTGAGCTGGTGTCTGATACTCGTACGCACACATTACCACTACTACTCATACTGCCACGACCACTAGTCTGCTTACGTCCGTGGCGCGGGATTCATCCAAGCCAGGCTGTTCGAGAAGCCCATGACTGCGGCATTGAAGGTGAACATTTCCTGACAGTTTCAAGCGAGGGCAGACAAAAATGGGTCTTGAACAGCAGATTCCACAGCATGTGGGACGGGGGGCATAGAGAGGGTATCCTCATGGTTGGTTGTTCTGACTGGTATCTTCTGATGGAGTTCCTGCGGGTGCCATCAACTATGCAACAGCTTCCAGGTGCTGTGCTGAATGATGTTTATCTCTCTAGCGACTTGCGCTGGAGCTCTAATGCAGCCCCTGAATCCGGAAAAGCTGCAGCCCAGCATCATTGAAGTTTTGCGGCACCTTTGTTCCAGCCATGCCTTTCGACACGGGCTTCTTGTCGGCGTCCTCCAGTAGCGGCGAAGCCGACATGTTACGCACACTGTAGATTCTTGAACGGAAAACCACGGCTAGACAGCTGGATAGGAAAACAGATATGGTATATGTTACGAATACAGAGCGCAGACATATGGATGGATAGGTAGACACATAGCTATATGTGTCCGTGTCTCTACTATTACTATCGCTTGCATTGCATTTTGTCTTCGGGCACTGCTGTGCGGGCTCCTCGGCTTTGTTTTCCTTGGCCTGTCAGGGGGGGTAGCAACAAGCTTTGGATTTGTTGTTTTTCATTTCTGCATTGAGGCTCTGAGCTTACAAATCTGATGCCCAGAAATGATGTCGACCCGTACCTGCCATCGGGGTAACTCGCCGCCCAATGCAACAGCTGAGTAATCTTCGGTGTGGAGGCCCGTTTCAAAGAACCCTAAACCCTAAACCGCAGTCCTTGGCTCAGAAGTTAGTGTTCCGTTTGGGCGTTCGTCTCAGGCTACAGTATTGAGTTTCAGCTCACCGCATCCAAACAAGATCTGCAGGTGGCTTCATACAAGTTCACATCGGGAAGCAACACTGTACAAGTGCGGGATTTGGGCTTTTCTGGCTGCCACAGCAAGCACTGCAGGCTTTGATTTTCAGGGTTTCGGCGCTCACTCGGACAATCCAGGCGAGGCATGCGGTTTTGAGCTGCTCTGTGAATCATGAAGAGGAAAGGGCTGTACCAACGATCCCCCAGTACAACTAAAACCTGCTAAGGCTTTAGGGAACCCGGATCTGCCGGGGGAGCACGAATGGTTTAATGCCTAGTGCTACAGCAAGGAGGAGTTTTGATCGTAACTTATGAAGTTAAGAATAATAAGTAAGCAGGATCACAGTCTAAAACTTTGGTGTCAAACGCAAGATACATCGTAGACACAACAGCGAAAACCACATGCGGTAAAATCGAATTATAACGACAACGTCCTACTTGAACCCGAAGCCTGAAGCCGTAAACGGTTGAGCGAACACTCCCCGATTCGCCTGGTCAGTGGCTCGGGCAGCGACTTGCTGCTCACCTCAAGGGATCGCTTTGAATTTAAGAAGAGCACTATACCCCAAAGTCAAGGCTGTTGGCAACGGAAAGTCTGGGCTTTCCAATCTTAGAAACAAAATTTGGATGTGCTGTAGCTTCGGAGCTTGAGGGCTGTGGCAGCTGGCGGTGGGTTCCAGTGAGACCCACTTGCTTGGAAAATTGAGGTTTCGGTGCTGGTGAGAACATCGAGCTGCATCCAACAGGCTTTGCCCATAACCCCAAAATTAGGCTTGAGGTTTACGGTTCGGATTGTGAAAGATGTTTTGTTGTCACCGTGGATATGAGGGTTTGGCCGGCATAGGCTTAGGGATGCAAGGACAGGGACAGACGGGCGAAGACGCAATGCAAAGTTCGGGCGTTGGAGGCGATATGGGCAGTTCTCTAAATGAATGTCCCATCCCTCAAAATAGTACGGCACCCTGAAAAAGGATCCTGAATGGCACCCTCATGTAGAACTACCCATATCAGATAGGTCTAACAAAGTCAGAGCCACCCTGAATCCCAGAGGCTCCTTGAACGAGGAGCATATACTCAGTGTACTCGCGTTATAAGCCTTATAACAGCTATCCTTAGCACCGTTTAACGTGAACCTGGCCGAGCCTCCGAGCCTGCAGCAGAGGAAGCAAATGCATGAAAGGGTTCCCATCTTCATTTTGAGGGGCTTTCGAGATCTGCGAGAAATTTTGCAACAACAAGCAGGGTTGTTGTTCTATGTGAGGACGACTTGGCAAGGCTCTGGTGCAGAGCCACACGGTGTTGGAGCCAGTAGCACCGAATGAACACTTGTCGCTGGTTGTGCTTTCGGGTGTCTGTCGGATTTCGTAGGTTTCCGGGTTTGTCATGCTCCTTGCTACATGCGTTTTGTGAGTGGGATAGGCAGTTTGAGGCTTTGAACCCTGAACCCTACACCCGAAACCCTAAACCTCAGGGCCATTTGGGACTCATGAGCCTGGCTGGCTTTCAGCACCATCTTCCGCCTGCGCTTTGCGGCACTCTGGATTTGGCGGGATGGTTTAGTGACGCAGCGGGGGAAATATAGACCATGGAGGCCACCCTGCATGAGGTACACGGTGCTCATCCAAGTTGAATGACTTAGAGTGTCCTAGGATTTTGGGCGAGGGATGCAGCCACAGGTGTTAAGAGTCGAAGGCCTCGGGGCGAAAGAGTTTAAAAGCGCTGCAGGCCTTGGACTCAGGGCTTGCGCGGAGTCGGGGGAAGCCAAAGTAAGAATGGGGCTTGCCGGCGTCAGCTTCGTGCAGCTTGATGGCGTCTTAAATTAGGGGTCTAGCGGCATTCAGACAGGCTCGGAGGTTTGAGGGTGGTTTGGGGTTTGACGAAGGCTTTGGGGAGCTAATGGCATTGTTGGGGCCTCGGACCCCCGACAGCCATTCTTCCCGGCCGGCCTCAGTTTACCCTCTGATGAATGAGTTGACCATTGGCAGCACGGAAGACGAAAAACACTAACAGCAATCCGGCCGACTCCATAGCACATTAACTGACACGAAACAGCACCCGTGTCCTGAACTACGCACCGTTCCTAGCAACGACAAATTCAACACAGTGCCACATGACACCAAGAGAAGTGCCCCATGGCTGGAAAACCATGGATGGCCACGGCTTCCTCGAAGCAGCCATTAGTTCATGGCTTAGCAATTAAGCTAAGGCTGTGGAGGTTCTACACGACTCCAAGAGGACATTAGATCGTTTTGTCGCAGCCCACATGAATCAGGCCAATGCAGGTGTCGGGCCTCATCGCCGGCTCCCTGCAACAGCAAAATTGGATTTGGGTGCATGCTTCAAGGTTAAAGGTCGTATGATTACGGTTAAGGGGTGGTTGCAGAGTTGATGGTCCTAGGCCTAGGGCGGGGATTGTCGAGAAGAGGGATAAAGCAAGGCGGCAGTATCGCTGCAACGTGACATTAGTAGCCAACGAGACACGACTGTCTCTCGACCAGTGTGATGATGATGAAAGAGTTCCCTCAGTCGTGAGTATCACTCCAAACCATGCGTGACGTCCTGAGCTTCATCGCCGCCAAACTCGCCAAAGCCGAGCATTCACGCAATGCGATTGTGAAGTCAAGCAGCCGGGAAAACAAAAAAACAAACACCAAGTTTCCAGGATACAACGCTGCAAACCTGCATCAGAAATGTCGCTGCCTTGCAACCTCAACCACACCGCAACGAGTGAAAATCTACTCTGAGCTCCGGATAGGTGGTTTAACTTTCCTGGCAAACATTTCGTTTTGGCTTTCTTTCCACGCGCTGCGCGGCAGATGAACTTTGGAGAGCCTCTGGACGTGCCAGCTGCTCGTCTTCGTCGGTGAGGCCTGGCAGGTAACGGTTCAGGCTTCTAGTTGTTTTCTAGGGTATGGGAGTTTCCGAAAATAAAGGGTACCTTGTTTTGGGGTCCTTATAATAAGGATCCTACTATTTGGGGGTACTATATTAGGGTCCCCTATTTTCGGAAACCCCCGTATAATTCAGGGTGAACAGCTTCACCATCTCGCAGCCGTGTTCCTGTTCATGCTGGTGCCCCCGAGCTCTGGGATGCCCGGGCTTGCATTCAGGGATCAGGCAATGTTACCTCTTCGAGTTTGGAATCTCGACTCTTACACCTTGCTGAACCCGGTAAGTCATCAACCACGTTCTGGATTTAGAGGTCCGTGGTTTAAAGAGTCCTGGCATCGACGTGCACATGGGAGATGTCTAGATTTTAAGTTTCAACGGGCTAAAGTTTTCCACATATTAATGTTCTTCCAGGTTCCCGTCCTGAAAACAGCTATGGGAAACTAGGCGAAGCTGTGGGCACCAAACCCAACAAACGTTTTCAAGCTTCAAAATGTCAGACAGTACTGCGTTCAATATAATACTGCGACTACATCTGACAAATGCATATGGTTTGTCCACGTATTCCTGCATACCAGTATGTATGCGTGTGTTTATATGTGTCTACAAGTTTTTCATTCGTCCATCCATCCATCCATCCATCCATCCATCCATCCATCCATGCCTCTGTGCAGGAATACAGACATGTGCAGGTATGTACGTATGCACATGGTCTCTGCGGCCCAAGTCCGAGAGAGGCAAGGGGGACCGGTTAGTCCTCCTTGGAATACCAAGAGAAGAACAACGCTCAAAGGTACGCACCTTCTATCTGAACAAGGCCCGACTGAATTGGGAGTTTCAGAAAATTAGGGTACCTTATTTTGGGGTCCTTATAATAGGGATCCTATTAATTAGGGTACTATAATAGGGTCCCCTATTGTCGGAAACCCCCAATTAATCAGAACGTCCCAGTCAATCTGTCACGCCAGGTTGCGAGCATGGCTGGCCTCGGTAGCTGGAAGCTCAAGCACATTGGGGCTGTGGGGATCATAGAAGCCATGGCCCTGTCTGAGAGCTCTACAACTCTTCGTTGCTCCCGTTCCACTACCACGAGGCTTTGCGAGAGGTTTTTCGGGGCTTTTTCTGGGCTTTCAGTGCATAGGACATGTATCGCAACCGCGTGCGGCATGTCATGTTTCTACTACGACCAAGCAAGGAATGAAAGAAGCCTCATCTCAGGAATTAAGTCCGATTGAAAGCGCTTCGAGCTTGCGGTTTCGCTGCGCGAGGCACCCATTGGGGCGACAGGTCTCGTTTAGGGTTTGATCCATGGTCTTGGCTCAATGCCGATGCGGAAGCTTAGCATCTGACAAGCTTGCCAACAGAAGCTGCTGTATGATACTCAAAACTCAAATCGTTTGACCCTGATCAGCAAGGTTCAGCTTGATTGGGCACGGAGACACGAAGCAAACACAAAGAAGATCAGTGGCAACCATTGAGCCTCAACAGGGCTACAAGGAGGAGCCTACTTCTCCTAAGCCTACACCCAAGGAAACAACAGGCTTAGAGTGCAGGGGTAAGGCTGTTGACTGGGACTCCCAACATGCCTTGATAACCTGAAGGTTCTGCATGGTAGAACTGTAGAGATGATGAGACCGTCTGCAGGCCAAGCGCCGCGATCCAACTGACCCGAAGGGTATTGAAGCGCTCCGAGTACTCGCGCCGGACGTAGATCATGGCACCCCCGACATAGTTCATGAGCGCTTGTAATCCAGCCTTCGCCTGTCGAACAGCTTGGGGTTTAAGGGCCCCGGTCGGCTTGTGACTACAGGTTTAAGGGCCGTTTGCGAGGTGCTTATTCCCAGAGGGCTGGAGAGCGGATCAACTGGAGACGGGGATTGGACAGTCAGTCACAGAAAATCCTGCAACACAAAAACTCCATGCAAACGCAAGAGGCATGAAAGCCCAGTTTAGCCGTTAAGCGGATGCTGCAGAAGAGGTCTTGCCAGCACGTGGAGCCCCGGTTCGCCGAGTAGACTCTAAACACCGGAGTAAGTCCCGCCAACAAAGAGGCCTTGCCAGTGAAGTTGGCACCAAGCTCCTGCTCAAAGAGCTCGAGGATGGCGTTGCGGAAAATTCCGGCTCTCGGGGTCGTAACATCCTCGGTGTAAAGTTTGGGGTTTAGGGTTTGGGGTGAGGCCCTGCAGAGTTTAGGGTCTCGGTGGAGGCCATGGCAGTGTCAAACTGATGATACTGGCAACTTTCAGCAGTGATGAGGATATAGCCGTCACCATAAGTACCGAAGAAGGTTGATGTGAACATATCCAAGAATCGTGACCGTGACAACATTACATGGGGCGATATTCATGACAATCACCACAGTGCTCCTTCAACCATGACACAAACACACAACAACCAACAACCATCCGCAGCCGCATTTTGGAGTCGTCAACCACGATCCCACATTCCGAGCTCTCACCTTTTGCTTGGGTCTGGCAAGGTCTGTCGCTCTCTCTCTCTCTCTCTTCTTCAGCAGAGCTTGGGAGACTTCTTAGGTCTCTCGGCCACTGAGGCCCCCCATGTTTCTGAAACCGCAGTCTTCGTGGGCGAGGTAGACAAGAGTATGTTGACATAAGTTGACTTGACAGTTCCCAGGATCGCCAGTATTGGACAAAACATATGCGCTAATTGCGGTCTTCCCCTCTCACTGGAAGAAAGGCAACCAAAACAAAATGCTTTACAAACAGCAGTAGGAGATTCTGGCTGCATGACTGGATTGCATCGCAGAGCCGACAGAGATGGCATCTACCCGGTAAGAATCAAACCAAACTGCAGGATGAGCAAGCCAGGGTGCAAGGTATTGTACCCCGTGTCAAGTGGCAAGCAAGCATGCTGCGATCTGTACTCTCTCCCTCCCTCTGTATCTCTCTCTCTCTCTCTCCCTCTACTTCTGTCTTTCTTCCTGCAAACTTATTCAATAAGGGACGGGGGGGTCCTGATCCCATTAACTCCGAAGCCCCTGAACCGTGAACCTTCGTGAACCTCAAACTGCTGCACTCCAAGGCTCGATGTCCAGGTGCTGAAAGCCCAAGGTCTCCGTCACCATCTGTGCACACAGGGGTTCAACGCTTTCTTTGGGTTTCCCAAGGCTTTATAAGAGGCTCTGCAGGTTTTGTTGTCTTCCACTGGGTTCAAAAAGGGTTTTGCTTCGAAAGCTTTGGGGTCTATGGCCTAGGGTTCACGGCTTTGCTTCAAGGGCTTTGGGCTTTAGGGTTTCGGAGCTGACTCTCGGACATGCCAGAAGGTTCATGTTTTTTGGTCTCTAGGCAGGGTTAACGTTGTCGGGTTCCGGAGTTACTGCAGCAACTGCAGCTACTACACTTATCCTGACACATACGTAGTTTTCGGCTGCAGGCCGTTCCGGCAAGATATAATACAGCAAGGATGCGGCATGCATGTACCCTGTATGCACATGGTTGTCACGCCAATGTGTGTACGTATGTATGTATGTATGTATGTATGTATGTATGTACGTATGCATGTATGCATGTATGCATGTATGCATGTGTGCGTATGTGCATGTATGTATGTATGTATGTACGTATGTACGTATGTATGCATGTATGTGATGTATGTATGTGTGATGTATGTAATGTATGTACTGCATGTAGTGTATGTAATGTATGTAGTGTATGTATGTATGTATGTATGTATGTATGTATGTATGTATGTGTGCATGTATGTATGTATATGTATGTATGTATGTATGTATGTATGTATGTATGTATGTATGTAAGAAGTGGTAATGTACTGTTATGTATTGTTATGTACTGTGCTGTATTGTTATGAGTATGTATGTATGTAAGTATGTATGTATGTATGTATGTATGTATGTATGTATTTATGTATTTATGCATTACTACATCATACACATACACTGAACAGCACATAAACACATGTCCATGAGGAACATGGAAAGCCGGCATGCCCGGTACACAGGTGGACACGCACGTTGAACACTGGTTCCGAAGTTGAGAATTCAGAGTCGCCTCAAATCGCAGGTTCGAGGCTTTCGTAGGACACTCTTTGCACAGACTTGTACATGCCCGCCTGGTTCTCAGAGCTGCCGCAGTCGTGGCAGACCCTAAACCCTACAGTAAACCCGTAAATTATAAAGTGCGGTCTTATCTTTGAGGGTAGCGACCAGCCTTCAAGGCAGGAGGATCCGTGAGCTCGACGACTAGCTGATTCAGCCCGTTGATAAAGCGCATCGCCATCACAGACCGCGGGGTCCTTCAGAGTTTGCAGCTTTGTTTTGAATGTGCAACGGCCCCTTTCTCCGCACCGGATCTGTGAACCTTCCGAGTGTGCCGGTAAAGGATGTGGGGTTTGGGGGTGTTGGTCCAGGGAAGATCAAGGCTCGGTCTTCGCCAGGAAAGCTTCACGATGTGTGTGGGCATGATTTCTAAGGTTTTCGAAGTTCAGCGTCAAACGTGGCTAAAAGAAGATGCCTCAGTCACATGGCATTCCTTGATATGAGAAGCAATATGATTCCTAGGTCCTAGATGTCTCTTTAGATGCTGCTTGTTCAAGTCGGGGGGGCTAAAGAATCTAGATGTGCAGGCTTCGCTCGGAGCGGAACTGATGAACCTCAGGGTTGGTAGGGTTCCGTGATAAACTCGTCAGACTGAGTGGGGGAGGCAGAGTCTGCTGGCCATTGCTAGGTAAACTGCAAGAACCCCAACAAAAGCCCCGCGGTTCCGTTGAACAATCCCTGTTAACTTTGCGCCCAACATCTGAAAACGACAGGGATAGGCGCACATGGCACAAACAAAATGCACGATATCAAACGGTGATGCAGGGACCTATGTGAACGGATTATGCGCTTTTCTGTCGTTTCTTGCAGGCTGGCCTGGATTGCTTCGTGAGGGCTACGTGCGTAGCAAAGCTCTCACTGAGAACCGACAGAAATGAAATAACCATGCAGGTGGGCTTTATGAGCAAGCCACGAGCTGTGCTCTTTCGGACAGAGTCCTCAGGGTTACACTGACTAGTGACATGAGAGCACGATGAGTCCATAGGGTAGGCCTGAACAGTATGTACGCAAACATACACACATACATACGTACGTACCTACATACATACACATGTACATATTTAAATACATAGATATGTTGACATATGTAGAGCGAGGTGAATGCAGGTCGAAGGCCATTTGCAAATGTATGACCCAACTGCTGCGGAGTCAAGTGGCTTGAAAAGGGTTTGCAACTCCGGAGCTGCATCCTCGGCATGGACATGGGTAGCTCTTTGAATTAGGGTCCCTTCTAAGGTCCCCAATATAGTACGGCACCCTTATAAAAAGGAACCCTAATTTAGAGAGCTACCCAAACAGAGAAGTATGCTCATGACTTGCTCCGTTGAGAGGTGAGGAGTTTGGGCTTACAGCGTAGGTAATGGTGTTCAGGCCTCGCTGTGCATCTCTAGCCATAGCCACTGACCTATCGAACATGTATCTGTGCTGCGCTACCCATTAACAGCTAACGCTGCAGCAACTGCCTTGAGTTTCTTAGCGTTGTTACACGCACCAAACGTGATTCCTCGATACCTGCACAAGAACTGTAATTAGCTAACGGCCCAAAGAGTGACAGCCAGAAAGGCTTGTGCAGGGAAGTTGACAAATACTTTCCATGCTCGTGCCGTTTTACCCCAGCAGGGAGCACGGTCGCACGCAGTTGAGGTGCGACTTGTGTGTTGTAGCTGGAGGGCTAGTGCAATTCATGTTTTGTGCATCCTGGAATCCTGTTGTGCGTGTAGTTTGCTGTCTCGCTGTTCGCTCGAGACGTTGGGTCCAGACCTAGTTACTTAGTTAGTTACCTAGTTTAAACTAATTTTCCAGGCATCTGTGTGTGCTCAAAAACAGGTGGGGCCACAAGCAGGCTAGCGGCAAAAATCGCGGCGTAGACGGCTTCGCCGGCCGCATCTCTGGACCCAGCTGACTCGAGAAAGGCAGTGAAGGCGGCCCTTAGGTGACTTAGGTGGTTGCCATCTCTTGCTTCATATTTCTGATTTCTCGCTTGGTTGTTGACCTCCTCTTCTTTCCAAGCTCCGTTTCCACTTACTAAGCATCCTCATCCACAAAATCCTCCTCATCAATGAGAACACCACCCCCACAACAACAGCAACGGCATTAAGAACAGCAACAGCAACAACACCAACACCATGCCTACGATCAGCGCCACCGCCAACTACAAGAATACAATGCCAGTAATACCATGCACAGCAACAAGAACAACGAGCACAAAGGCAATAACAACAACGACGAGAACAGCAACAAGAAACAACACCACCACTATCACCACCACCACCACCACCACCACCAACAACAACAACAACCAACAACCAACAACCAACAACCAACAACCAACAACCAACAACCAACAACCACCACAACAACAACAAAAAAAAAAACAACAACAACAACAGCAACAAACAACAACAACAACAACAACAACAACAACAACAACAACAACAACAACAACAACAACAACACCAGCTAATAACAGCAACAACAACAACAACGACAATGACAACAACAACCACCACAACAACCACCACAACAACCACAACCACCACCACAACACCAACACCAACACCAACACCGACACCGACACCAACACCAACACCAACACCAACAACACCCAACAACACCAACACCCACACCAACACCACCAACAACACCACCACCAACAACAACAACAACCACCACCACAACCAACAACAACAACAACAACAACCAACAACAACAACAACAACAACCACCACAACAACCA